CTACCCTCACCTGTTATCAATTAACAAGCCAATTTTGGAATCTTCTAGAGTCATGTTTTCGTTGTATTTACCATTTGTCACAACAAAATGCAAATAATTTGGTCAGTGAAAACTGAAAAACCTTCCCTTTGTACTTCTGTCGGTCAAATAAAGGTTAAAGCTAATTAACAAATCACAGATTTTAGGTTTGGTTTTTGGAAAAGGGGTTTGTATATGATGCCTGTGTGGAGCGCAGGCAGCAAACACATCGGTCTTACTAAAATTAACAACTATTTTTTTTGAGATTGTAACTAGTGTAGCATGCTACATAGGCTGTGGTGACATACTCTTGCCTTGACAAATGTCTCTGTTTGTGCTCTTGCTGAGCGACATCTCTTGTTTTTATTTTAGGGAGGATATTTCCAGGGGCAAATCACACTGAGTCTGCCCTGTCCTCGGGGACCTGCTCTCCTTCATGTATAAAGACGGACAGGCTGCGTCCAATCTGTGCATATTGCCAGTGGTGCTGAAATTTGCCTTCTCCTTCCACCACAGGGCTCTGGGGGTCGCCACTATTTCCAGTGTATCATATGAGGTGAGAAAATAGAAAAGTTAAAGAAGAAAGTTGTCTATTGCCTCAAGGTCCCTACTTTCCCTGACTGGTCCCTGGGGACAGGCACACTACACAGTTGTGATGATTGAAGTGGTTTAATACAACACAAAAACAAAAAGTATTTTTGAGAATCAAAGACATTTAGATGAATGGAGAATGGAGAAAGTAGGAGAATTCTATCAAGAGGCCAAAGTATGCTGTGCACAGAAGGATGTCTGAGAGGAAGCACCATTAGGCATAAAAGAAAACACACACAATGTTGTTCTTATACACTAGACCCAGCAGGTGATGAGAATTTTTGAAAAGTTTAAGCTGAGGTGGATAATGTCAGACTTGGCTTATTTGCAGATTTATTTATTTAATTTGAACTTTAAGTTTTTATTTTGGCTCATGTCCCATCCACTAACATGGAGGGGGTGGGATTTATGACCTATACTTCAACAAGTAGCATCAAGTTGCGGCGATTTCACTTCTGTGCGCTATCATCTCGTTCATCTTTCATACAGTCAGCGGACAAAACTGTTGGAAGCTGAGTTACATTATGGGCAATGTAGACACTAGGCCGGACAAGTAAGGAAGAGGACTGCATGGGACAAAATAGTGATACATATCTCTGGTTCTGCTGCATCGATTTGACCCATTTTGCAATGCAAGGCTAAATTTGTTGAGTACTTTAATAAAATCACCATTATACCTGCTGCCTCAAAAGACACCCACATTCCATTTACAGTAAACTGGTGTGTTATTTGGTCATTGTCAATCAAATCTGATCAAACCACACCCATACAGGTCTTATGAAGCAGATTATCAGAGTTTATGAGCTCTGAATAACTAATACATAACTGAATGAATAATTATTTGTTTTTAGTGATACTGCATGTCTTCAAATTTTGATTATGAATATTTAATATTATACAAAAACACCTGATGAGTAGTTTCCAGGGGTTTTAGCTTATCCCAGGGCTAGCCAGTTTCTAGGAGAAACTCTGGAAAGCAACAGAATCATGTTGATGACAAACTGAGCAACTCTGTTCACTGAGGAGTGCCATGAGATGTAACTGGATCAAAAACAAACAAAAGTAAGTGCACCACTGTGATGACAGTCTGCTAAAATTGCCTTAATCTATTCTCATTTCTACCTAATCACCAACATCTTGTCTTGAACCACCTCATTTGTATGCAACTGTGATCTCATTTTGTCTTTCCTCTCCAACTCTGCACCATGTGTGCTGCACAGGGCACCAAACTCTTCAAACGCCTTTTAAGGTTATGACTGTAGTGCTGCTTGCACTGGTCTTTGTGGTGCCATTAAAACTGAGCACCTGGAGAGATCCTATCACACCTTTTGAAGAAGACACTATAGAAACATCTCTGTGGCCCTGTACTGAAACTCTCTATAGGGGAAGGATTTCAATATTAGTACTTTTTCATTTTGATCACAACAGCTAAAAAGATTACCTTTAGCCCAGATTGGCCCACAAGGCCTCTCTCAATTTAGCGAGGTGGGTCCATGACTCTGAAAATGATGCGGTTGGTCAGTGTTAATATGTTCCATGAGCTTTGGTGGGGCAGACAAATACTGTATTTCTCTCCAACAATCCCAGCCATGTACATCTAAAGATTATGTTAGCAATGTGACCGCAGAGAGGATAAAGTAACAGGCCCTGGTTGCTATTTAATGTAGAGTCTCATCCATCATTATCATCCATATTATCCAATGAAAGGAGATCTTCTTCACTTTGAAGAATACAAAACATGCTTCGCCAGCATTTTTGAACTCTGTACATCTACAACAGTGAGTACTCCAGTTTAATTCACAGTCTGCTTAGATGTCAGTCACAGATTACAGTACCACCCTCACAATCACATCTTGCAGTGCTATTTATTTTATTTCACTGCAGGCTAAACCAAATGTTGCCCACCCACATTCACATGTGGGAACACTTTAGCAGAGAACGTTCTCACTTAGCTCACTGAGCGAAGCACTAGGAGGGGAGCACCAATTCTTACGTAGTGCTGTTGCATCTAGAGGTATGATCCCATCTGCTGACAGAGAGATGAAATTAACTCAGTCAGGAGTGCACACTCAGCGTGTCTCAGCTGCGTGTTTTTAACCGCAGGCCCTTCAGCAGTAAGCCACACATGAGCTTGTTAGTGTTACTCACTTCCTACCTGTCCACCCTGCAGTACATGTGGCGCAGGTAGGGATTTGCACAAACAGCTCTTGAGCTGGTGTGCACTGAATTCCAGAGGTGGACTATATTTTCTGCCAAGTTTTTACCCTGCTGCAAATTCATGGATCAATTTCCTAACAGCTGCAGCATATTTATTGCGGAAATGGTCTTTGGCATGGTAACAATTATATTCTCTTCTGGATAGAAGTTTAATGTTGATGTTATATATGTGATGACTTCCACAGTAAAATGTTATGTTTACATGTGCAGGTGCTTTTCTTGTCATGTTCATTTTCAGCATAAGCAGATCTGTAATTGACAAATGTTTAAATTTTATCAGCAATCTAGGCAACTCATTTGGGATGTAAAAAAGTATTTAGCTAAACTATAATGTCTTGGATGGTATTTATATTAATAAAAGTAGACTAACTATTAGATCCACCTCAGTATTATGCAACAGAATTCAACAGCACTAACCACAGCCTTCAAAAATGACCATAAAGTTGATTTGACAACTCTCTAAAACAACAAAACCTGACCATTCTAATGTTATCAAGGCAGGATTTATTGCATACCTGTTGCATTAGACTGCCTTACATTTCAATATGTACTGTTTACCTAATAAACTGCCAGCTGAGTACATTATTACCATATAATGACCATATAATGTTGTAATGGCTAGTACACTTTCAGCTCAGGCCAAAAATACTTCCTTTTTCAATCATGGGGTGACTTTTAAGGCAAGCGTATGTGCAAACAAATGTACCCACAGACATTTACACACATTAAAATAAGCAAGACTAAATAAACAAGGATTTAAAACAGTTGTTGATTTATAACAGTTGTCCATAGCTGGCCAACAACCTCCAGCACCACAGAGACATATATTATGTAAAAAAAAGCAGAAGTCAGCAGTGTTTTCCTTGTCTATACACAAGGTAAACTGACCAGCTCTTGTACTCTGTCTGTTCACAAGTCTAATGGCTTCTGGATTTAATCCAAACAGTTATGTTTCTGGCCACCCGATGAAGAATTTGGCTCTTTCGCTGCAATACAAAGCAGGCAGGGCCCCAGAAGCACCAGGTTTACTTGATACCATTTCTGTGCAATTTGATTAAGGGCAGATTTGTTTGAAAATTTCATCACTGAATAATATAAACTGATGGGTTGCCTTTCCTCCATCTCGTGGCCTTTCTCATGTAGGGACCTGTATCCTGTATCCAGTTTTTTAAGACCATAACTCCTTTAGTATATATTGTGCTCATTTGTTATAAACTTGTCTTTTATTAAATTGCTTTCGTTTCTTCTGTTTGATAATTTAATACTGTATATCACAGGATTTCTGTAAGGAACCTAAGAACTGTCTCAATTATCCATACATCTAATATTATTTTGTTTAGTAATCAATTTATTGTTCAATTTAATATATAAAATATCCTGAAACAAAAAGTGTCCATCATTATTCCCTGAAGCCCAAGTTAACATAATCAACATACTGTATATTTAGTCTGACCAACAAATAAAAACACAAAAATGTTGAGTTCTCTTATATATGAAATTGCGTTTTAGGTCATATTTCCTAATAGTGGAGGGCTGATATTTATGGGGTATAACAATAAGAAAAATATGCATTCTGAGTGGAGAGAGTATTTAAGTTACTCTCTGCCACTGCTGGATCATAGACTGACACTAGTCAACAGGAAATGATGTATTTTTGGTTTATAATGAGCAAAAATGATAAAAACAATATTGTTAAAATATGTTTCCTGACACGCTGATTTGGAAAAAAAGTGCATCAGACTGCTGAATTTTGTCCTTCTGTCAGAGTTGCCACTGTTGTGCCAATGACATGGATCTAACTAAGTACACACATGCTATGCATACTGTTTGTTACTGCAGCTATACTTGTCACAGAATAATTGGCTATGGTTGACCCATGTTCCATGCAATGGTTTCCACCACCAGGAAGTGGGAACCCAATCAGACAATACACTGTTTCCTCCTTCATAATTGAATGCATCCAATTAAAATGTGTCCTGATCTCTGGACATATATCTCAATTGCCTCTTTTCTGTTGTCATAGCTGTATGTTTGTTGTTGTTCATGTAAATGCAGCAATAAGTGGTATTGTTGCTGGTGTTCAAATTATGGGGAACAACTTACGGGATAGATACAAGCTTTCTGAATAGCTCCAATTACTAACAGTAATCCAAACAGGAAGCTGCAGCCCTTACCTTCACATGTGTGTCCATCCGTCATCAATGAGAACCCTGGGAAACAGGAGCATTGAGCCTGACCTGCCAGAGCCTTACACTGCTGACTGCAAGGGCCATTTTCTGCAAGAGACAAAAGTATGAGTATTATGATCACAACACTCCCTCTGCTGCTTCTCTGCTGTCCTGGTAATGCATTGTCCTGTTCTCCTTCTCCCCAAGGGCCCTATGGACCCCACTATCACATCATCACACTGATCATCACTCCCTGCAGAAAAGTGCCTCTCATGAGCCATCACATTCAACACAACATTATCAATGCTACCTATTTAACAGCTCAATAGTCAGGTCACAGAGAGGTTTGGGCTGGGGACTGTTTCACCGTTGATTCTCCCCGACAACATTGTGGGAAGGCCACCTGACACACTGATCAGGATATTCTAATAACTAATGACCAGAGACATTTTGAAGCAACAGCACATTAGAGACTCCAGCACCTCAAGGGTTTGCACTCCTGAGCTCCCCATGATTTGATCAAGATTCAGCTCATGAAGCTGCTAAAGTGTGTAAATACCGCAGATCAACTATGACTGAACAATTTAACAGTGAAAGTGTATGCAGTGAGGCAACTGTCCCTGCTTTTTTTCTTCTGTTTTTCAGTTTTTCGCATCATGGCATTCAGGTGTATTCAGACAGATCATGTCAGCCCAGATTTCTATGATTTCATAAAAATAGAGCTGATGTGTTGAGCACATGCATCCAGACAATACTTGGCTCTAGACATTGATTTAGAGGCTGGAGACACCAGCAATTGCTTGCTGCTTGCAATGCCTCACAGTATATGAAACACTCTCTCACCACCCATTACTCATAAAGCTGTAAAACAAAGTCTGAAGAATGTAAAAATAAATATGTATTCTGAGTTTGTCACACCACAGGAAAATGTTTTGTTAAGCACCAAGCCAAACTGGAAAGAATAAAAAATTGCCAAGCATATAAAATTAAGTTTCCAAATCATAATAAATAAGGAGTATTCTCTGCTCTTGAAACTATGGGAACATGTTGGTTCACTGAAACCACGGTTAATCATGTAAATGGGCCGCCTGTTCCATTCATGGATGTGTTAAGAAAAAAATAATAATTTCATGGTTCTGTTCTGGCATCCAGGGATGAAAGACGGCTAGGTAACTCAAGGCTGTAGTAGGTGTAGGAAATCATAATTAAACAGAAGAATCACTGATCTGATGCAGTGCGAGCATTTTACTTACATATGTGAATAAAAATCGGAGTATTTTGTCACACTGTGTTGTCAGTTTGTAAGGACTGGGAGCATTTTATCAGCACTCAAAAAGACTAGTGAGTGAAATAAATGGATTGGAAAATATGATTTTGCTGTTTATAGAGTCGATCGGTAAATCAGAAAACAATGATTTATTTCTCCGATTCTGATTCATTCTGGGTAATGCCACTCACTCTCTTCATTCACACTACACCTTGCTCTACAATTGCACTCTCTTTCTTAGTTGAGTAGATTTAGGACAGGCAAGAGGCCACTGGGAAAAGTGGATGAACGGTTGATTGGCGTGCCATATCCACCTCATCACAGCATCACAGCAACCTCTATACTGACAACCAGTATGGTGGCTGGAAAGAATACTGATAAGCAACACCGTTAAGGAAACTAGTTTCATCCAGTAAATTCTTATATTTTAAAACAGGTACCGGTACATGCTACATACACAGACACACAAAATAACACAAACATGTCAAGTACCAAAGCAAAGATCAATTAAAATTCTTCTTAACAAATATCACCCAGATGTATGGATAATATTTAGAAGCACAGTAGCTGACTCTTATTTTGGTTAAATCTGAAGCCCAGAAAGTTCACAAGGCTCTGCAGTGATTATTTTATAGGTAATTACTTACACTACTAATTCCTCATTACTTATTTCTATACTTACTGCATAGAAATAGTAGGCAGTAGATACTGGGAAACTTGGAAGAGAAAGAAACAAACAAACAAACAAAAAAACACCACCCTGAAAGAGCCCATCAACCAAAGTCCATCAATAATACATAAAGGCTTGTGAGGTCCTTTTTCAAAGCAGGATTCTTCAGTCAAATCAAAACATAATGATTCAAACCAGGCAAGGGCAGTTCAAGGGCAATCAATCAGTAGGAATTAATGGAGTAGCCAAAGAATATAAGGTATAATTTTACCTAAAAATGTGTATGCATCACACAAAACAGCAACTACATATCTGGGATATCCATCATCTGACATATTGATAGATGTCTTTTATTCCCTTTTTTGTATTTAGCAAATGTGTGCCCAAATCTTTCTCTAAGTCTTACATGTGCTCAAAAATGTATGTATATGAATGTGCATATGCTGCATGTTTGAGTGTTTAGCTTTGAGTAGGGCATAACCATGAAACCTCCTACACATAGTGAGTACACATTGTGGTGTAATGCTGGCATTACCTGCACAAGGATTGAAGCGGACAGGGGTGGTGTTGGTTGTACTGGTAGTAGTGGTTTGTGCTGGGGCTATAGCAGGACTGTCCTCTCTGACTCTATTATCCTCATCAGGACTCACTGCACATGGAAACACAATAACAGAGAGCACAAGGGACATGAAGTATTACAGATAAATGAAGGGTTAAACTACAAAAGGGAAATTATTTCAAACAACTACTCTGTGCTACTTCTGAAACCAATTTTAGTAATGCAAGTATTCCACATAATACAGTATTTCCTAATAACAAGACATAATTTGACCCATGATCTGTTTTTGCATCATGCTCTTTTATAGAGCAAATAGAGGTCTGGAAATAAATGGTCTTTTATTTGAGGTTGCAGGGAATTTTGATGAGCCTGTTTAAATGGCTTTTGTTTAAGTGCCATGAGTATCATGATGAAATCTGTAGTTGATTTAACCAGAGTATAATGATAGTGAAATGACCACAACGGTGTGTAAAAAAAACAATTCTTGTATTTAAGCATTTAATGGAAGTAAAATACTTCAGCAGTTCTGACATCTCCTGTCAGTGAATTCCAACCACACATCTGTATAATACTAAGAACACAAGGTCAAACAGGAGATAGCATGAACGACCTTCCAACAAATGTGAAGAAGACTACCCACATATACAATATAAACACCACTTTCACAGACTGAATTATGTGATCAGACATATAAGATAGCACCATAGCTGGGAGGTCAGTATTTTGAACCATGTTTTAGCAATTTTTTTTTGTAGCAGAAATGACTACACGTTATAAATATGAATTTAATATTTCATATCTTTTAATGATCAGGGCACCAGGCTGATGTGCTAGCCAAGTGAATGATGAATTTATTGATCTAAATTATTAATCCAGTCTCAGTCTAAAAGTGATGACTCCTTAGTTTATTGACCCATTTATTCCATAAATTTAAAATAACATGACATAAGAAATAGCAAGTCTAAATAAATGTATTTACATATGTGCACTTTGGCTGGAATGCATTAAAAGTTCTGGCACACTGAAAACTTCAGATCGGCTGGTCTGCCGGGTTATGCAAGAAAGATTCATAAATCACAATAATGATGCTAAATAAGAACAGAAAAAAACTTCTTGTACTTATGTGAGCATATGATTTTGACAAAAAGAATGCAAGACAAAAAAACAGACAAGAGACGTGGACAAACAAAAACCTGTGGTTCAACTTCTTATTTTGTTCTACAAAAAGAAAGGATAGGCTCATGTAGTCATGTGCTGGCTCAGGCGCTTGGCTTCACCCGATTGGTTAGGAGTTTGTCAGTTGGAGTCCTCTGACTGGCTGGGACTCTGGTCTCATGGCAAGTTGTGTCAATTTCTACATCAAATTTTGAAAACCACATTCAACGATCCCTTCACTATAAGTTACTTTAAGATTCCTAAACATGTGGGTCTGTTGCCTGGCAAAAGACCTATTTCCTGCATTCAGGAGAAATATCACGCTTGAGTTACAGTACCTGGTGTGCAGGAGTGTTTGTCTTGCTGCAGGATGTAGCCCTGGTGGCATTCACAGCGGTAGGAGCCCCAGACATTGGTGCATGTGTGCTGGCACAGCTGGCCTGCATAGAGTTGGCATTCATCCACATCCTCTTGCTCCTCCACTGTGTTAGCAGCTTCATCTGTGGCACCAATGGAGAAGGCCTCTTTGGGGAATTTGCTGTCTGAGACTGGAAGGATGGGGGTCTTAAATTAGAGACAGCACCAGAATACCTGTATAATTCTGCTTGTATGCTTACCTCCTGAGACTGACTTGAATACACTAAACAACATTCAGTCCTCTTTTACATTTACATTAGAGTGTTTAAGTGATGTTTTTATTCAGAGCTCCATTACCATCAATACAAGAAACCACAGTAGCAAGTGCAAAGGTCAGAGTCTTACTGCATTTATAGGACTTTTTTGATTACGGGACACTAATGTAAGAGTGAGGTGCTGGAAAAAGGAAAAGACAAACTGCTGGTTGTTTTTAAAGCACTATTAGACAGAGATGACAGGGAGAATAGTTTGGCAGAGAGAATGGCAAAAAATATGTTTTTAGCTTAGTTTCTATTACAGCACATATCAATCTGCATCTATAACAGTGCTCAAGTTGGACTCCTGTCTGATTTAACGCAGTTCCCACAAGCCCAAAGTTGACATTTAGAGATGTTTTATTCTGAGGAACTCAGAATGTTCATAAGCAATGATCAATAAGGTAACTTTGATTCCAGGAATTCAGGAGCAGGAAAAAAAAACCTCACCCTGCCCCCTTACACAGAACCTGGCTGATTGTCTACTTTGTTTCAGCCAAGATGCTGCAGCCTCCCTGTGTACAACACTTGATACTTTTGCCCCTCTGAAAAAGAAGGCAGTGAAATAGAGGAGGCCCCATGGTACAGCTCGCAGCTCCGCTCCCTAAAGCAGGCATCATGAAAACTGCAAAGGAGGTGGTGTTCCACTAAGTCAGAAGAGTTTTTCATAGCCTGGAAAGATAGTCTAATAACATATAAAAGAGCCCTTCATAGTGCCAGAACTGCATTTTTTTTATTACTGATTGAGGAAAATAAGAACAACCCCAGGTTTCTTTTCAGCACTGTAGCCAGGCTGACAAAGAGCCACAGTGCTGTTGAGCTTAACATTCCCTTAGATCTCAGCAGCAATGACTTCATGAGCTTCTTTACAAATAAAATCACAACTATTAGAGAAAAAATTGGTCGGACCACTCTCACAGCTCTCGCAGATGTGCCATCTACTACAATGGCTTTAGAAACATCTTTAAGACCTCATTTATACTTGGACTACTTCTCCCCTATAGATCTCTCTGAGTTGACCTCAGCAATTGCTTCATCTAAATCATCAACATGTCTCCTGGACCCCATCCCGACCAGGCTGCTCCAAGACGTCTTTCCCCTAATCAACACATCCATACTAGATCTGATTAACCTCTCTCTATTAACAGGTTATGTTCCACAGGCTTTTAAACTTGCAGTAATTAAACCTCTACTCAAAAAGCCTACTCTTGACCCAGGTGTCCTAGCTAATTATAGACCAATATCCAATCTCCCATTTATTTCTAAAATCCTGAAAAAAATGTTGCAAAGTAATTATGTGACCACTTACACAAGAATGATTTGTTTAAGTATGTTCAGTCTGGTTTTAGAGTCGACCATGGTACAGAAACTGCACTGGTGAAAGTCACCAACAATCTCCTCCTAGCCTCAGACAAAGGACGTGTCTCCATACTTTTCCTCTTAGATTTCAGTGCTGTGTTTGACACAGTTGGGGCTCATGATGCTTTGAGTTTCTCTCCACATGTGGATTTGCAAAGCACAGGCAACTCCATGCTGAACAATCAGAACCAACCAACATATCAGCCCTAAAAACCAAAAATCTGACCATGCATTCAGAAGGTGCCTGGACTAAGAAACAGTGCAACTCAGTCATGTCTCCTTTTCAAAACTACAGACAGAAGCACCTTAGGACTGTAACAAACTGACCCACATTGTGAGTGGTCCAACGAAAACCACAACCACACCAAACTGAGACCTAAATAGCTTTTCAAATGATTCTCACCAGGACAGACACCCACTTCATCTACGTACTGTGGGAAGAACAAAATTCAGGGTTCAGTGGACCTAAGTCCAAACCGGCAGCCCAAAGAGACCTGACACGATGTTCTTCACAGAGGGGTGAGAAACCTCTCTCCCTCAACCCAGCTCTGACATCTCACACAGACTCACATGCAAATGACTCAGCCTTTCACAGGGCTCTACCCTACACAAAGTTCTTGGGCAACCTCATCAAGAAAGGACAGGCACAGAAATTCTTCCTGCCTGTGACTCTTGGAAATGTGCCGATGCACAGGCACTGATGTCACCGTAATCAGCCACAGTCCCTGGCACACCAATCAGGTAAACGCTTAAGGCTGCATGCTTACTGTCTTGAAGTTCGACCATTTAGCTCCTCATATGACAAAAATGGCTTTGGAGCACATGACTATTGGCAAAATGAAAGTCGTTTGTTCAGTGTACACCACTGAGCTCAAAATGTTTCCTTTTATCATGGGAAAGGACCTTCTTAACCGATTTAAACCACACATTTACTTTAAAAGAGCGGAAATCTGGGGACGGGTCCACACACCCCTGCCTGTTTTGCATCCAGCACAATCTCAGTCAGACTGCATTAGCTACAACATATATGTAAAATGAAAACCAGTACTGCAAGAGAGTTGACCAAAGGTTGAGACATGCCATAAATGCAACTGATCAATTTGCAACATGAAGTGTAGCTCCTAATATAGGTCAAGTATCAAAAACACTGGAACCTACCTTTCCCATAATGCAGCTCAATCGGGTCTTTCATTGGCAGCATTAGCAAGAATATAAAAGCAAAGGTTTCTTCAGTTGGTTTGCTGTTATTGGGAATTATACTTAATCTGTACTGTGTCAAAAACACACAGCACAGTAGATGAACATGTCATTGTATCCATATATCACGGGATAAGGGCTGACAGCGCACTGTAATAATAATAGATCCAGTTACTTTAAATAGATATTTCTCACAATCATTACCTGGAATTTAAATTCAGAGGAGCAAGATGATTAAATGTTTCCTGTTTTAATTAAAAGGCAGTGAGTCATAAGACTGAAAGCACATCCCCTATGGAAATAATTACATTGCATCTCATCCATTTCTTTCATCCATAAAACACTCAGAAAGTAAAGGCATTCTTCATGCATCCTGAGAGAGAGTGCGTGAAAGAGATGGACATACACAGTAAAGCTGAGGAGCTTGAACAGATCTTGGGGCCCCAAACCCTTTCGCAGCTTACAGCAGGTTAATTGATCTCACTTAAAAATTACACCGTTCAAATTTCCTTTTTAAAGCTGAAGGAAATGAGCTACAGTTGATGGCTAGGGCAGAGTGTGTTAAAGCACAGGATTAGGAGGAACTCCTCTGATGATGAAGATGAAATAACTAGGCTAAGGCAGTGAGGAGACTGATCTTACCTCACTATCAATTACCATTAAAGGCTGATTAGGTCTAATGAACTGCATTTCCATTCTAGGACCATTCTGGTCCCAGCATATAAACTAAAAAAGATAAACAAAAGTCTACTAAACTTAATGATCTAATTGCATAGAAGAGTACAGACAGATGGACATACTAACACATGTGGTGCTTTCTAAAGCTAATTTTCCACCCATTACACTCACTGATGACACATCATGGAGCTTACAGCTGCAAACAAGACATGCCCTGCAGGTCATGTTCAGAAGCCGTTGGGTCCTAAGCATAATTCTCTGGTGTAGAAGGAGATACAAATGGGCACTGCAATGCTTTTGCATGAGGGATGGGTATCCTGAACCTTAGTTGCTTGAAAACGCATCAATCACTGGCATTATGTACTCAATGAATCAGGGACAGAGGAAAATGTTGCTGGTACAGGTAGAGAGACAACAGTTTGAGCTACCATTGGTTCTTGATTTGTCACAGCTTCCATACATCTACCCCCACTACCTCAAATGGTAGCGTAACTTTTGACCAGTCAGCTGAGGGCAGCTGGCCTTTGGAAGGCCAAACTCCACCCACACTCCCTCAAACATAAACTTCATTAAAGACGAAACAGCCATCCTAGGACTTTTCCATACAGCAGTAACCTGCAGGATCCGTTGAAGCTACAGGAGCCACAAATGTACTTTTGAAGGCAGAAATGCTGAGGAGGATGAATTAACAAAATGTTTCGAGTCCAAGTTTAAAAAAAAACAGCAAAATCTGAAACTGGAGTTCTCAAAAGCAACTTTAACTAGGAACAAAATCAGTGTTAACATTGTTTTCAAAGTTTAGCAGGTTAATTAATTTGCCTACCTTAAACTAGAACTCCACCATCAGAGTTTGTTTCTAGGTGTTGGGGAGTACTACTGCATATGTGAAAAAAGCCTTCTATGACTCCATAGGAAGCTGTGTGAAGTCTGATAAACTGCCTCAATTGATGTAATTTGAGTTAGCATGAGTTGAAGCTGAGGACTACAAGTATGAAAATGAAAACATCTGGAGGTGTGGAGTTAGAAAGGAGAGGAGCTTAGCAGACCTCTGCAGTCCACTCTTCAGCTCTGCTATGGATACTAGGTCCAGACTACTTTAGCCACTGCTAGCATCACACTCCAAAATCTCCAACCGAGCAGTTGCAAGTTGACTTGAGTTGGGTTTAACAGCAGAAGAATAATATGAACAGTCTGGAGGCACCAGTGCTGTGTGTCCGTTTGTGAACACACACTATTTCTAATCAGATTTTGGGTTTGTAGCGAGTGCCCACTAAAAACTGACAAAATTACGTATACCCAAAATGTCTATTATTCTTCCATGCAATGGATGAATAGACTAGAGCAACTATCCTCAGGTGTAGCTCACTGGACATATTTCTAATTGTTGTAAAACAGCAAGATCCTGGAAAACAAACTACTATTATAATCATTTCCCTTTTTTCATGCCTCGCAATTTTTGCTGTCTTTTTGTGACCTCTGATTGACAGTTAGCTTGCTACATGTAACTGACATACTGTATGTTAGTGAAAGCATGGCATCGTTTCAAAACATGTTGGTCAGATTTTGCTCTGACTTGATTCGAACATGGTCACTGGCTGATTTATTGAGAATAAAAGACACCAAAAGATGACATGATAAATAGCCAGTTCTAAATTAAACAAATGTACTTAAATACTGTATGTGCTGAAAGGACAAAGGGGATTGGGATTGCTGAATGCATGAAATGGTACAAGGTGAACAAAAGGATGATAAAACCATTAGACTGATGAATTAAGGACTCGGCTAAGAATTAGGGATGGTGCAGAATTGAGTTAAATTACACTTAAATCACGTTGGATTTTTGGATCTAAATCTTAGACGCAAACAATCATTTGGATGGAAAAACAACTGTAAGTTTCTGTAAGTTATGGGCTTTAATTTAGGAGTAACTGTGGTTTATGAGACATCAACTAGCCATGAGGTCACTTATCTGTTAGTTGGATATTGGCCATAAGGTCTGAAGAGTCCATGTGGTCAAGGAAAGGAGAAGTGCTTGGTTCAGGGCTCTGATGGCATAGCTGAAGTTTAACACAAAATCTGACTTACACTCATGGCCAAAAATATAGGCACCCCAGTATTTCTGTCAGATAACACACCACTTCTCCTAGAAAACTGTTGCAATCACAAATTCTTTGGTATGTTTATTTTTTTTGTTTGCATTGGAACAACACAAAAAAGCAGAGAAAAAGCCAAATCTGATCCATTCCACACAGAACTCCAAAAATTGACTGGACAGAATTACTGACACCTTTTCAAAATAATCAAAAATAGTTATATTTCAAGCATGTGATGCTGCTTTAATTTGTAATGAAACTCACCTGTAGCAACCAACATGTGCTGGCAATATGGAAATCACACTTGCAACCAGTTAAAATGGAGAAAAGTTGACTCAACCTTTGTGTCATGTGGACCACACTGAGCATGGAGAAAAGGAAGAAGAGCAAAAAACTGTCTGAGGTCTACAGGTGACTTTCATTACAAATTAAAGCAGCGTTGTGTTTCAAATCTCTACATATACCGTTGTTTACCTATTTATGGAGGAGAAATTCAAATTAGTCAATGCTGTCACGGTTAATTGTGCTGTCCACTTGCGACACAATGCCAGCAGCAGGAGTTGTGTGCATTCACAAACTATCCTCTCATTTTTAGGAAGAGGCTTTTTGGTTTTAAGATTCTAAAAAAAATTACAGACTATCTTTGAAACAAAAACTAGGGCCTGGTCCCTTGTACAGGTGAAACAGGGTAGTGAGGCAACATTCCTAGCTGAGAAAGACTGGAGCAGACTTTGCTGGGGGTTGGTGAGACTCTCTCTATTACTCACTGCCTGAAGATCATCTCTTCAAGATGTGTCTTGGTCTTAGGCAAAAAATACATCATTGACAGGTTTTTTATCACTCATGTCTATTCAGTTCTACTTTAAATACAATATATTATCATAATTATTAGATTATAGTACATTCTGTGTACAATTAATATCTAGTACTGCATAGAGATAAAATCAAGGAACACAAAGCTTGTCTGACTTAGTTTCAGTTTTCATTGGGTTTTTAGCCTATCCATAATGGTGAATGTTTTCTAATATGACTTTACGCCAAAGATAATGTACATGGATTTGTTCAAATCTTGGTAGCAATTTCTGTCCTCCCAAAATATTGGTAGGGACATGTCCCTACAGTTCCTATACAAAACTACACCATTGGTGCAGTGGGTAACACATACCTTTCCTTGGCATAGCAGTTGGTTTGGGTTTCTGCTTTCGCTTCAGTGGGATCTGGCCTGGAACTTCCTCGTCCTCACAGCAGGTGAGGAAGACGTGACCGCATGGGTAGCCCAGGTACTGGTGGGCAACACAACCCCATCCCTCGCTGCGCACCCGTAAGCCAAGGGCACAGCAGCTGCAGCACACCTGGCCATCCAGACACAACAGCAGAGCACATTATGAGTGTGTTGCTGGGGTGCCCTTCACATGTCTAATCACCACCTCTGTTTATGGCCCTCCACTTTTAGCCCTGGTTAATAAACAGCAGAGGAGGGGGGAGACATAATGTCACAGTAAACAGGCAAACAGGCCTGTTCATCACCGTGAACACACTGCAGAGGATTTCACCTGTCACCCCAGGCTGAAACACGTCATGCAATGAAAACCACATTTTCGCCTTTTTTTCTACTTTGCTCTCAAACAATGACTTGGCAAAACAGTTTGGCTTGACTATCTTAACATATGAACAGTTGGCTTGATGGCCAAACAACCGGGTTTCCTCTTGGAAAGCCATTTGAGCTGACTCTGAAAAAAGGCATGATTCCCATTTCCATATGGAAGTATTCACAGGTCTGAAGAATACAAACAGAAAAATGAGATTTTGGCTGATCTTCACTGAAAGATTTCAAACTGTTTGCCATGCAAAACAAATAAAATGTCTGACCGTTGTGAAAGTCTGTCTGCTGGCACAAGAATTTGAAATTTAAATCTCACTCTGGCCAAAACAATTATACTGTACATTCCAGGGGATGTTTAAAGTCTAAAATGCAATGGCACGCTCAGTTTTCACAGCAATGTTGATGGCAAGGATTTACAGTACCCAACCACTGCAGATGGAGCTGCTTACACTGTCCGGTTTTGTCATTTGAAAAAGTAAGTCATATTTTCAAGAGGTAAACATACCAACCTTTAATCCATTCACTGTCTGTTTTACTAAGAACTTAGTGGGTACCATCCACTCATAACATCATGTTTATCCAGCCATGACACAACCGTCTGTCTTCCACTTGTTTCTTCCTTGTCACTCTCCAGTGTGTGTCATCTAACACAGCAAATTGAAGGCAGATGCCTTAAGTTAACTTTTGAAAAGAGGCTGATGGTGGTGAGACAGTCTTGTACCTGGTAGGAGTCATCTGTGCACTGGTACTTCTCATCCACTTCACAGGTCTCCCCTTCTCTTGCTGAGGTCATACCTGATTCACACCGGCTCTTCTTCACTGAGCTGAGGCAGCACTGGTTCTGTGCAACACTGACAAACATACACACATGCCAGTCAATACAGTTTTAAATGGCACATGCGTTTTATAATCCTGCAGACCAAGCTGGTTGACTGAGAGTGAAAAGATAAAGCCAAACAAACAAGATGTGCAACTGGTAAAGATGACTTGGCAGAGGAGAAAGTCTGTTTGACTCAAGCAAATTAAAGAGATCAGAAACTAAAGGTAAGCTGAGCTCAAATCAGGCCCTTCAAATCTTTCAGATGTAATTACATTTCATCCTACATCTCTTGATTATTCTCATTAGGCTAAGTAGTGCAATAATGTGTGAGTACAGCACTGCTCCAGGTTTTAGCAAAATTAGATCATCCATCCATTAGCTGTACTGCTTATCAGTGTGTGTGTGGGGGGGGGGGTACACCCTGGACAGCTTTTATGGATTTGTTGAGAAATGTTATGTAGGAGTATGATTTTTAGCCTTTCATTTAGCAATTTCATCTCAGTGGGAGTAACAGTAACAGTCCGTGTTAATGCACCATACCAAAATGTAATGGAAATCACACAGTGGCATCTCAAATGTTGCCTGGTATCATGTACAGTATAAAGACAAACACATGGACAGAGCTCAAACCACAATCAATTGTTAACTACTAAAATATTTTGCTGAGTAATACCTACGTGACAGATTTCTACTGGAAACTGTTTAACAGTTAATACTTAAGTTAATACTTTGTAGCGCCACCTTTTGCTGCGATTACAGCTGTAAGTCGCTTGGGGTATGTCTCTATCAGTTTTGCACATCGAGAGACTGAAATATTTGCCCATTCCTCCTTGCAAAACAGCTCGAGCTCAGTGAGGTTGGATGGAGAGCGTTTGTGAACAGCAGTTTTCAGTTCTTTCCACAGATTCTCGATTGGATTCAGGTCTGGACTTTGACTTGGCCATTCTAACACCTGGATATGTTTAGTTTTGAACCATTCCATTGTAGATTTTGCTTTATGTTTTGGATCAGTGTCTTGTTGGAAGACAAATCTCCGCCCCAGTCTCAGGTCTTTTGCAGACTCCATCAGGTTTCCATCCAGAATGGTCCTGTATTTGGCTCCATCCATCTCCCCATCAATTTTAACCATCTCCCCTGCCCCTGCTGAAGAAAAGCAGGCCCAAACCATGATGCTGCCACCACCATGTTTGACAGTGGGGATGGTGTGTTCAGGGTGATCAGCTGTGTTTCTTTTACGCCAAACATAACGTTTTGCATTGTTGCCAAAAAGTTCAATTTTGGTTTCATCTGACCAGAGCACCGTCTTCCACATGTTTGGTGTGTCTCCCAGGTGGCTTGTGGCAAACTTTAAACAACACTTTTTATGGATATCTTTAAGAAATGACTTTCTTCTTGCACACACTCTTGTGTGTTACAGCCTGCTCAGTGTTTTATAACTAAGGTGTCACTTTATTTTTAAGCTCATTTAATAAGACAAGTTGAACCAGAACAGACTCATTTGGAGCAGCATAGAAACACATACAGTACACACATGGATCACTGTGTAGAGCTATGGGCAGCTTCTGCACAACTTCTATAATTAATTAAAGTCCCACTCCAGAAACATTTTCATTTTTATATTTGTATATAAAAATACTTTACTATAAACAATATGCAGTCTAACACAGCTTTTCCTCAAAAAAATTTCAGTGGGCCTCTGTAATAGGAATGAACATTGCCCCTCATTGTGCATTCCAGGATCTATGAATGTTGCCGTCATCCCTTATGTGGATTTGAATAATTTTGCACGCCCAATTTTTCAGTTTTTTATTTGTTAAAAAAGTTTGAAATATCCAATAAATTTCGTTCCACTTCATGATTGTGTCCCACTTGTTGTTGATTCTTCACAAAAAATTACAGTTTTATATCTTTATGTTTGAAGCCTGAAATGTGGCAAAAGATCGCAAAGTTCAAGGGGGCCGAATACTTTCGCAAGGCACTGTATCATCCTGAAGATTTTTACCTTGGTTGATTTGGTGACATTTGTTGTTACTGCTTGCAATGGCACATGAGCTGGGAGTGGTAAACATGCCTTGAGCATGAACAGAAGCTAAATGCCTGGGACCCCCCCACCTGTCAGTCAGAACTGAAGAAGCTTCTCAGATGAGAAGTGAAGCATTTTCAAGAACCTCAAGAAGCTCAGTTGCTGACTTTAGCACTTTGATATGCCTTGAGCAAGTTCATCTGTCAGAAGAGCACCTGATGTATCTGCTTCCCTCAGCCAAACAAACGTCTGCCTAACAGGATGAAGTGCCTTAAGTTTTAAATAGGACCCAGGACACGCTGGAGGGACTATGTCTCTCGGTTGGCCTGGGAACGCCTCGGCCTTTCCCCGGAGGAGCTGGAGGAAGTGTCTGGAGAGAGGGAAGTCTGGGCATCTTTGCTTAGACTGCTGCCCCCGCAACCCGGTCCCGGATAAGCGGAGGAAAATGGATGGATGGACTAAAGTAGACAGTCAACAGCAACCATGCCATCTCTTCTAAGTGCCTGAACCAGCTGCTACATATCTTCTTCCAGATGTGAAATGCATGCATGCTGTGGCTTTTGCCTTCCACCACATGTCCAGTAAGTGCATGCATTTATTGTGCACACATACACAATATACTGTAATTACCAGCAGAATGAAAGTACAGGAAACATTTACAGAGAGAACTATAGAAATAAATGTTCTAGATGGAGAGAGAAATCTGAAAACTGAAGTGATACTGCTAGAAAATATTGGACAAAATAGTATCGACACTGTTTAAATAAAAATGACAAATTTAGTGGGCTCTTCAGTGGTCCAGTTTTGCACTCCATAAAAACATAAAAAGAGAAATCAGAACTGAAGCAGATGCCAAGATATCCTGACTTTTAGTCCCTGTGAGCGAAAGCTTTTTGTTTTCAAAGCCAAAACTGACCTGTTATTTTCTCAGACTTTACTAATCTAACAGGTCTCACATGCTGAGTAATACTCAAGATGAGTTCAATGATCGTAATGTGCAAAACTGGTGGGAAGCCTCTTTAAGTAATGCCACGCTAAGTTACATTTCACTGAAAAAGTAAAGAGGCCTTGTGCTTGTCCTAACAACTGAAACTGCAGGTGTTTTGCTCCACTCAAACAGCAGCTTCCAAAAATGTTTGTATAACTAAAACTACATTCTAACACCTAAGGTGGCATCACTTACCTGCACATGGAGTGCTTGTCATTGTTCAGCATAGGCATGTGGTTGCAATGGTGGTTTTCTGTGGCCCATGTCTGACCAGCGGTACAGCAGCTCAGCAGCAGGCCCTCAGCAGAGACACCCAGACCTACAGCCCAGAGATGTGCAGCTATGTACATATCATTATATACAAGACTGAATAAAAGCAGTTCTGGAGGAAATCTTGCACAGCTACACTGTATGGAACAGGGAAAAGCTGGAGCAGTGCAGTGAATACATTAAGCAGCCAGAGCTACACTAATACACTACACCTCAAAGGCACCTTTATGATTTCTACAGCTGATTAAACAGGTGTAGTCATGTTACCAGAATACAGCAGACCTCTTTATGATTGCAAACTTCTTCCGCACTTTTGGTGAAAATTGTGTAAGTGCTGTAAGTGTGACAGAGTGTTGCAGCCCTGGCCTCACATCTGTCTGACCTTTTCTCAGTGTGTATTTATGCAAGTCACTATATCCAGATGCCCGTCTGGGATTGGTTCCTGAAGTGTACCTGTTCCTTGGCATGCCTCCCTCTGTGACTGGACCGACACATTATGTATTCAATATATTGAAAGGTGGTTGTAATACTTTGTCAACCCCATTTATATACATGAGGAATAAAAGTACTAAACTTTGTGAGGTTAGAATTAATGGCAAATCTGTTAAATTGGATTGTATTAGACTTTACAGGTGCAACTAATAATGTGCAGAGTAAGCAAAGTATTTAGAAATATAGGATTATACAAAGATGTGGTTAGTCAGACACAGGTAAAAACCTTTAAGGAGATAATATTATATTCACTGACAAAATAGATTAAGCTACACCATGAAAGTAATACTGGGTAGCTAATGAAGCTGATGTTCCCTAGTTTTATGAATGGATCTGTGAATCCAATTAGCTACCATTATAAGTTGTCATTTCAGTCATTCAGTGAACGAACACCAAAATAAAAATCCAGTAACAGTTCCCCTGTAAAATCACCCCTACTCTGCCATGCATTTATTCAGAGGCAAAACATTTCAATGTCATCAGCTCGGGGAAATGAGCATAAAACGTGTATAACCAAGAGCCCATTAAATCCCCATAATTGAATGAATGCATTTTATATTTGACAGTGATTGGTGACATTCTACTGCGCCGCAGGTCCCCACAGAGGCTGAAAGCCCCCTACCCACTGCTGAGTGTGTAACGGCGAGCCTGGCTGCTATGTGTGGAGCTCAGTTGGTAGATGAACACACTGTGAGCCAAGCTGCTGCTGCTGTAGCACCAAGAGCCTGTCAGCCTCCCCATCGCCTCGACATCACACCCAAAGCCGCCTCACCCTGCTGCTCTTATCCACATATTAACATGAATGCTTGAGCATACACACACACATACACACACCACACTTCACTCTGTGCCCTTTGAAGAAAAGCAAGTGACAAAGAGCTTTTGTTTTTCAACTCAATAAACCTTCGCTGGCTTATTTACACAGTACTGAAAATTTGCATATTCTTCATATTCACACTGTGGTGAAATAAAGTTCTGTTTTAGAACTCTGAGGACATGAACCCAATTTATATCAACCAAAAAAACTGTAAATACAAACAATATTTTACTAACTTTCACTGTGTTCTGAGGCATAATGCACCCAGTCATGAGTATGGTTATGCTATACAAACACCACAGAGCTAGCTAAACTCTACTTTGTACGTTTCTGATGGACTATGAAGCCTGATGTTTGTAGTTATAAATTGCTCCAAATTGTGTATTACTTCCTTGATGTAATATAGGATCCACAGTATTCACTTTGAGCTATGATACATCTAAACTATGCTAATCCTGCTGATCCGATACTGTAGAGTGTACATGCAGATACAAAAGAGAACTATACAGCGAGGAATGCCTTAAATAGCTCAGCTTTAAGCTTCACTTTGAAACACTTGGCTGCACTCAATTCCAGTCCTAACTCTTAAGGCTTGGTAACAATAAATAAATAAAATTATTTCAAGCAAATTCTGTCTGCTACTTATTGTGCATAATTTATTAAAATAGTTTAAAACTGATTGAAGAAGATGCTGGAAAGTTCTTACTTTGCCCCCAAAAGACTGGTATTTCAATCTGTATAACACTACTACTAGATTTAATGTCCTTGTTGAGAACATTAAAGAGCTTTTCCTCTCAAACAGTAAAATATGTGGCATCTGTTTCTAATCCCAAACAAGTAATAAAGTGATGTTATGTTTCCTTTCATAACTACAGCAGCTCAGGATAAATAAATAAATACAATAGACAAAGACTGCAAACACATCATCTGCTGGTTTACTCCTCACAGACCTGCTGAGTGTATCCAACAAAGTGAAAACATCATCTCTAGGTTTCTACAAAGGAAAAACAAACTGTGGCTGCACAGACTTCAAGGTTTTTCACACTAAATGGGAAAGATGGAAGCCGTGCGATCTCCCACTGTTAGGTGAAGTATGTTCCAGGAGTGCTTGCCAAAGGCCAAACATGAGGTTCAGCTGGAAGGTCAGATGCATGATAAGGAGCCAATGGCCTGCTTTTCTGTGTTTTCTGACTTGTCTACAATGTTACAACAATGGATTATCTTTTTAAACGTGACTGAAAGCCCAAAAAATCTAGATGTACCTATGTTCTAGTACTTGTAGGCAGAAGCAACTTGGTTTATACAAGTCTCTCAAACTCTCGCTCACGAGATTTTTTTTGGCCAGTTTAAGGATTTTCTTGAAAGGTCATTATCTCCAGGCAGTTGCATGTTCATGTGAGCTTGCCTGACATCCACTGGTGCCATTGTAAAAGCAGAATTTTTTGACTGCGCACGATTTTGTGGATATATTCTACCACCTGCTGCTGCACTGTGACCAGAGGATGTGGAGAAAAATGTGTTTTTGTTTATGCGTTGTCCTGGCTTCCTTACCGGTCTTGTGTCAAAATGTGTTCCCCCATCGAGATGTGTTTCCCCTGTTCAAAACTTGGTTTTATGTAGTACCTCCCTTAATGGTGGTGGTTATGATGATGTTAGGATTCTGCCAGTCGTCACTTGCTCGTCTCCAAATGGTTCAGAATGCGGCTGCCTGTCTTTTGGTTGGAGTGCGTAAAAGGGAGCACATAACCCCTATTTTGGCATCCCTTCACTGGCTCCCGGTGTCCTTTAGGATTCATTTTAAGATTCTTTTATTTGTTTTTAAGTCTTTAAATGGTCTTGCACCATCGTACCTTGTTGAGCTTTTGTCTCCCTATAGTTCCTCTCGGTGCCTCAGATCAGCTGACCAGCTTCTGCTGGGGGTACCAAGGGTTAGGTGTAAATTTAGAGGGGACAGAGCGTTTTCTGTTGTGGCTCCTAAGTTATGGAATGCACTGTCTCTTTATATTAGGCAGGCCCCCTCGTTGGCCACTTTTAAAATTTATTTGAAGACTCATTTGTATGCCTTGGCATTTGATATGGTGTGAGACTCTGTTCAGGTTCTGGTTTTGGATAGTACTTTGTGCTATTTTGATTTTGTTATTTATTTTATTGTTGTTTTATTCTGTTTTTTTTTACTGTAGTTGTTTATATGTTTACATGTTTTAAATGAAATCTTATGTTAAGCACTTTATTTGACTCTGGCTGTGCTAAAGTGCTCTATAAATAAAGCTGAGTTGAGTTGAGTTGAGTTGAGATTCAGGAACACATCTCGATGGGGAAACAGATTTTGACACAACACCGGCAGCAGGAGTTGTGCAACCACTAAGGTCGGATCTGAATATCTCACACATTTCACATAAACGTTCCTATTATTATGGCTGATATATTCACATTAATATGGTCAAGGAAGGGTTTCCACATTTTGTTAAAACTAAAAGTACATTAAACAAGTCAAAATATCCAATGGAATATGTTCCATTATTATCTTATACCACCCAGATATTGTGGGTGTCTTAAACAAAATCCACTGGAGTAATATATTTGTCCTTCCACAGAATGATAGGACACTTGTTCGTTTCCTATATTATGCATTGGTAATATGCTTATTAGGGGAGATCAAGAACAAGAAATACCGGGTCTAATTGTATTGCAATTCCTAACATACTCTATATTTCACACAGAGCAGCTTCCCAGTCACAGTCAGGCGATAAGTGCACTCTTTGTAGTATTTTAAATTGTAATGCCCAAGTCTGATTGCAAATTGTTTCATATATATACACACAGTCATGTTTTTATCTGCTTTTTTGTGTTGTTGCATTGCAAACAAAAGAAATAAACATGAGGATACCAAAGAATTTGTGACTGCAACAATTTTCTGGGAGATGTGGTGTGTTATCTGACAGAAATACAGGGGTGTCAATATTTTTGGCCATGAGTGCACACCATAAGGGTCCCATTTTCAAAAAGGTCCCTAAAAGAAGAAATACCCGTTGGGTCCCAATGTTTGAAGTCTAAAGTACCTCGTTAAAAAAAAAAAAAAAAAAATCAGGGTTATTCACTATTGAAGTAAGACTGGAAGTCAGTCTAGAGCTTCCATCAGTATTTTGCACTGCTCTCCAAACCCTGACTGTGTTAAGTGTTTTAGGGTTACTGCAATTTTTAAAAAATGTTTTCAGATCTTTTAAGCAAAGCAGATTCAAAAGTGGGCACCAAGACAATGAAGTTTCAATACTGAACCAAACTGAGGAAGTGTTATAAACTCAGCCATGTACAACAAGCAGAATGGCACTTGATACTTTTTAAGATGTGGAAGATCCAGCCCTCCCACACTGCTGTGGAGTTATAAAGTAATTATTTTTATAAGTGGCCTTTTCTTATGTCAAAGTAAATAACTAACCCATTCGTTTATCCTTTGAATTACCTTCTAAGTAAACAGAATAGGAATCCTTCTCAGTGGATGAAGGAAGCATTCACTTTACCTAACCAGGATACAGGGAGAGAACTCCATCATTCCAAATCCTGTTTGGCTTCAGCAAGTATTGGATGAAGATTAGCTATGAATAGCTGATAAAATTCAGGTGTGATGAATACACCCAGATACTCAAATCCCTGATGAGAACACTTAAAAGGAAAGGGGGTAGAACAGCTTAGCCCCTGAGGCCTACTGCCTAAGAGCATAGCTTCTGATTTGGAAAAACTAA